CCAAACTACAGTTTATGGAATAAAGATATTTATTTGGGCTTTCTTATAGCACTCATGATGTCTGGGAAGGGGTTACTTAAAAAGGCATGGACAACCGTGGGCCTTTTCTCTACATCTTGGCTGAGCTTTCCAGATCTGAGACACCTGGCCCACCAGCCAAGACGGCAAAATGCCCGCCCCCTCCTTGGCTTTGTCTATCCTTAGATCCTCCCCTCATGTAATTGAAGCTGACTGATTAAATGGTAGGGGTGACTGTCCCCGTCCCTTCCTATGGAGTCTCTTAGGGTTCAGACATCCAACTGTTGATAGTCCTTTCAGAGGACATACCTGTCCAACAGGCCTGAACAGGTGTCCACATGCCTTTGGATGGATGAATGGATGGATGGATGAGCAGGTGAGTGGACTGCCCGGAAAGCTGAGGATCTGTAAGGTTACAGTGACTACTCAAAGCATGCACGTTACCAGTGCTCCTTTAATGAAGAGTGAGGACACATTCACCTTTCCCCCACAATGATCTGTGCACACCTGTGAAGTACTGAAGAACACAAGATCAGCAGGGTTAGGAGCCTGAGACTGGTCTCCCCACCTTGTTCCAGTCTCTTCATTCTGCCCACTTTCCTGATCAGGAATGGGAAGAGCCAAGGTCAGCCCAGCTAGGCGATCCCCTTCAGCTCTGGCAAAATTTGAGAAATGCTGACTCTATATACAAAGGAGCGATTTCATGCTGGTGCCCAAACAGCCTTCCTGTTCTGGATTTAAGAAACTGATCTCTCATTGTGTGAACTTGCAGGTGTGTGTGTGTGTGTGTGTGTGTGTGTGTGTGTGTGTGTACCACTGCTGAAATTATACACTAGGTTTAAGCCTTGAGATGTGAAGGTTTCCAGGAAGAGCCTTAGAAGATGAGCAGACTGCACTTTTACTGTCTGTTGGAGCTTTTCCTAGGAAGCAATGGCATGATGAATGAGGTTAGGCTGTAGTATACGCAAAGCTGTAGCTGGAAAGAGAACTCCACAACACTGCCTGTGGGTGGGAAACAGAGGCCATAGGGATGATTAAAGTTTAGATGACATAGAGCCAGTCGTGATGGTATACTCCTTTAATCCCAGCACTCAGAAGACAGAGGCAGGCAGATCTCTATGAGACTGAAGTCAGCCAGGTCTACACAGTGCGTTCCAGGCCATCTGCCATTACAGGGTGACTCAAAAAAATAAAATAAAGTTTATACAACATAGTGCTTGTATGGATTGTGGTAGTTTGGATGAGAAATGTCCCCCATAGGTTCATGTGTTTGACTACTTGGTCCCCAGCTGGTGGCACTGTTTGGGGAAGCTATGGAACTTTTAGGATGTAGAGACTTGCTGGAGGAAGTATGTCACTGGAGGAGGAATTTGAGAGTTCACAGCCTTGCTCCACTTCCAGTTTACTGTCTGCTTCCTGTGTGTGGTTAAAGTTGTGATTCTTGGGCTTCCTGCTGCAGCCACAATTTGTCATGCCTCCCAACATTGTGAGTTCTGTCCCTCTGGAAACATAAACCAAAATAAACTCACCATACTTTTGTCCTGGTGTTTTATCACAGCAACAGAAAAGTAACTAATATAAGGATATCCAGGTCAGCTAAAGATGGCTGATGGGATATCCAGGAAACTCAGAGTCAGTAGTGATGCAATCTGTTATATAACTGTTTCTGGCAAAATGCCACTTTTCAGTAATTTTATATAAATATAGCCTTGAAGTCAAAGATAAGTACCTGTGCTAGCCTGCCTACATGTGTTTGCCGTAGGCCTGTGTGCCTACTTCTGTGAGGCCTATGTGTGCCAGTCTGAGTGGTAGCCTTGGCCCTGAGTGAATAAAGTAGGTCCTATCTGCCCACGGTTCCTCACATCTTCTTTAGCATCTCATCACCCTCCTCCTTTCCTGGCTTCAGGTACTTCACACTGCCCACCTCCACCCTTTGGCTGGAAAGCGCTGCAGCTCTGGATCATTTTACTCTGATATACTTGTAAGAAATAGCCATCCTTCGGTCCCAGCCATGTGGCCGCCTATGCAGGGAACAGAACTCACCATTGATCTGAAAGCTACTGGCTCTGCTTCAGGAAATATCATATACCAGGCTTAGCCCCCCCCCTTTTTTTTAAATCACCACAGTTTTTTTTAAATTGAAGCTTTGTTTGATACAATATATTTTGATTGAATTTTGATCCCTCCCACCATCTGTACCTATCAATTTCATGTACTCTCTTACAGACACAAATATATGTGTATGTATATATATGTATACATATATGTATATTTATGTCCCCAAATGACATTTGGAGCAGGTCTATCCACTGGAGTCTGTTATATATATTTAAATTTGTGTCCCCAAATGCCCTTCAATGTGGGTTCATTTCCTGGAGCCTGGTCAACCTACCAAGGGTCTCAGCCTTAAATAAGACTGACTCTCCCCCTCTGAACAGTCATTGAACCAGGCTTACTCTTAATTCAGGTACAATAGCTCACATTGATCCAAGAGACTCACCCATCAAGCCTATCAGTGTAGACAGTGCAGCTTGGGTAAACAGCCCATCCTGGCAAAGTCAAGCCCTCCTTTGGTGGAGTTCCAGCCCTGTTTTCTGTCTGTGCTGCACAGTACACTGGGAAGAATAAAAGGCAATCACATATGCTGTCTGTCTTCCTTTTATGTCTAAGAGAAGGCTGGCAACCATTGTCTAGACTGACTTTCTCAGGAATGTGACTCTAGAACTTTCCTAAATCCCTTCTTCTACTTAGGAAGCATCTGATAACAGCTGATGTTTATAGACTATTTTATATAAGCCACTGGACTGACATTTTATACACAGTTTTTCAGGCAGTATTCCAACAACCCGAAGGGTAAGTGCCAGTGTGTCTGTTTAGATAAGGTCACTGAGTCTCACTCACTTTCTGGTCCCTTACTGGGAACAATCAGCAGGGTAGGGCTTAACTTACTGTCCCAATTCAGAGTTCAGGCTTCGAACTCACTCTTCCCCTTTCACTGAAGGTAAACCATCTCTATTATTGTAGGTACCTAAATCAAACCATATGTCCTAGTTTTATTTCTGTTATTGTGATAAAACACCCGAACAAAAAGCAACTTTTGGAAAATGATTTATTTGGCTTATAATTTCACGTTACAGTCCATTACTGTGGAATAGTCAAGGCAGGAACTTCATCATGTCCACAAGGGGTGGGCAGGGGGACTGTTAACTGCACACATCCTTGTTGAATTCTCTCTTCTAGCTTTCTTTACTGTTACACAGTTCAGTTCAGGACCTCCTGCCTAGGGAATGGTGCTGCCCATAGTGGGCTGTGTCTTCCCACACAATCAAGATACTCCCCGACAGACACGCCCACAGGCCAACCTGCTCTATACAGTTTCTCCTTATGACTCTCTTCCCAGGTGATTCTGTGTCAACTTGACAGTTAAAAGTAACTATCAACACCATCCCTTCCACTCTTGATGGCTCTCTTTCCAGGTCTGCTTCATGTGGATTGGGTGGATAGTTGCTCAGCTCAGTGCATTGGTTGTGAGACAGGTGAATACCTGCTGTTGATGGGCTTGGCCAGGGGAGGGAGCATGTGTAATTCAAATAGACACATGTGGATTTACAGCCACACATGGCTCAGTGTTGGGCTGTTTGGAGAGACGCAGCCCTAGCCCTAGGCAATCCCACTGCTATTCCAGCATCACAGACCAAGGCCAGACCTTTGCAGTGGGGTGGTGTCTCCACATAATCTCTTGATGGGATCTAGAAACAGTATAAACAAAACACATGAGGCTGCTGCCAGGATAATGCTACACACTCCAATTAAGTGGGAATTTGCTCCTTATACTGATTTAAAAGGTGTTTTCTGGACTTTTGGTCAGATGGCCACATACACAGTAGTGGCCCTACAGGATTACAATGAAACTGAAGAAATTCTCATTGCCTAGTGTTGTATTTACTTTTCCTGGGGTTGGGGGCAGTGATAACACATGGCTGTTCACTACAGATCAGGTACAACACACCAAAGTGATTATTCCACCCAAGTCTGGTTTTGTGAACAGATGAATTTATTGAAGTCACTCACAGGAGCGTGATTGAAGGGTTACAGGCAGGAGCATAGGTGACCCCAGGACAGCCATATCACTGAGAAGTCTCACCCTAGCATGGATGACAACTTCTCCACACTGTTTCAGTTAACTTTCCATAATGTTTTCTAGTACCTCAGGAGACATATGCAACTAGGGCAGAGTGATATACAGCTAGGAGGCAGATACAGGAAGGGATGGCTGGGGTCTCAGATGAGAGAACACCAAAAAGTTCCACCTTGTTGAGGGTCTCTTGCAATTTGTCAGTAATCACAACTGCTCTGATTAAGATGGTAGTGGATGTTCAGATGTTGCTCAGATAGGAGAGTACTTGCCTAGCATGCAGGAAGTCCTGGATTTCATCCTTAGCATTGCATAAAACCATGTGTGGTAGCGGGTGCCTGGAATCCCAGCACTCAGCAAGTGGAGGCAGGAGGGTCAGAAATTCAAGGTCATCCCGAGCTACATAGCAAATTAGAAGCTAGCCCAGGTTCTGGAAAACCCTGTCTCAGAAAATAAAATATGAAAATAGCTGCTTTGCTTGAGGACAGCGTTCTTTAATGTCTAGTGAAGTCATATCTGCCATAGAGTCTCTGTGCCATGTAGTGCCTGTTTGTGGTGGTGCTGAGGAGGTGCTGGGGAAAGCTCATTCTCTCATACACACTGATTGTGACACATCCCACGTGTACAGTATCTGAGGTTTGGTAGTGAAGGACTGTGGTACTCGAGGTTTGGTAATTTTAGTGAAGGACTGTGGTACTCTTTTGTGTATTTACAATGCTATGCCTTTTGTAGTGGGAAACTGAAGGGGCTGAGTGCAGAGATGCCCTCTTCTTTTTATATAAAGGCCACTGTGTGATGGAGGCAGGCCACCAGGCTTTTGCTTAGATTGTCTACTATTTTTCCTCAGGAACCTTGGAGTACACAGCACATCCCAGCCCTGTTCTCAGCCTTCTGTGGCCTCTTGGTTGCGCTGTCCTACCATCTGAGCCGACAGAGCAGTGACCCATCTGTTTTCCTGTGAGTAACTGTGTTTGTGTGTGTCCATGAGTGTATGAGTGTGTGTGTGTGTGTGTGTGTGTGTGTGTAGGTCAGAGTTCAGCTCTAGGTGTTATCCCTCTGGCTCTGTCATCTTTTTCTTTTGAGACAGGATCTCTGACTGACCTGGTGCTCACCAATTAGACTATGCTGGCCAGAGAATCACAGGGATCCACCTGTCTCTGCCTTCCTTGGGGTTAGAGTGTGCCCCACCACATGCAGCTTTGTCTACATGGGTTCTGGGGATCAAACTCAGATCCCCACATTCCATCTTCCCCATGCTGTGGCAGGCTTCCTGCAGTCCTATCTGCTCTCCTAAGTGGAGATGCAAGCTTCCTGTAGTCCTATCTGCTTTCCTAAGTGGAGATACAGATTTCCTGCAATCCAGTCTGCTCACCTAAGAGGAGATGCAGGCTTCCTGCAGTCCTATCTGCTCACCTAAGTGGAGATGGGCATTCGTTGCTCTTGGATGCTCACTGATAAGTGAGCTGGTCACTCACATGACAGGGACCAGAAACCACTGAAATTCAAGAGTTAACTTCCAGCTGGCATTCCACCTTTGGGCTCTATGTTTAGACTGAAGTACAGAGGGAGCCCCCAGCTCTGCCCGGCCCCTTCCCATGGTGCACTGCAGGAGAAGCTACAGCCATAGGCGTCCTTGCTGGATGCAGAGAGCCTGACACTCTCTTGCTTGAGGAGGTCACCCTGTGGACAGCAGACACATTTTCTTCTCTTTAGTTCAGTGTACAACCAGAATCCTTCAACTTTAGAATGAGGTTTGTGTCAGAGTCTCAAAACTTATCCACTATAATCTCTAGTCACTTGGAAGTAAAAATCTATCTTCAGGGAAATCCTCTATGCAATGTCACTGTGAGTTTCAGATCCTCACGATGGCATGTCATGAAATTTGTCCAAATTTATATAAGCTTTTGACTTAAGATAATTCAGAGAGCTGGAGATACCAGTTTTAGGCTGCTAGGTGCTTTAAGCTGAAAGATGTGGAAAAATAGGGGAAAAGAAGAATTCAACATGGTTTGCATGATTTTTAGTATGAAATGTAGGTCTGAAAGGTTGACTTCTGTGGGCACTTCATGTGCAGATGAAGCCCAGTAGGAAATAAAGGATCCCTAGCCACTGACAGGTGCTGATACCTCTTAAGGTATCCGATCACTTTCATCAGGATGAAGTTTAAAAATTGAAACATGGGCCAGTGAGATGGCTCATCTTGCTGCACAAGCCTGGCATCCTTAGTTTGATTCCTGGTACCTGCATAAAGGTCGAAGGAGAGAACTGACTCCTGAAAGCTATCCTCTGACCTCCACACGTGGGCTATGTGTGCACATGTGCTACATACACATATCATGCACATATACAATAATAATAATAAGTAAATATATCTTAAATTAAAACTTTATGTTCATAATCTCCTGAGTGTTTCCTTTCATTGTGAGTTTTGTAGTGGTCAGAACACCAGCTTTTGCCCCTGTGAGTGTGAGGTCTAAGAAATTGCACTATCTGAGACACATTTTAAAAAATAAAACCCATTTTCCACTCTTAGGTCCTTCATTCAGTGCAAATTGCTTCCTAAATGTTTACATCAGAACCTGGAAGAGTCAGCCACGGACCCTCTCCCCCAGAGGATGAAGGATTCTGTGGTAAGACCTATGTATTGCATGGCTGGCCTGTTACAGGAGGGTCTTGCTTGTCTGCAGAACTAGGGTGTCCAGGATCCAGCTAACTGGGAAGGTGTGAGAAGACAGTCTAATCCATACCTGATTCTCAGTACCCCTGAGCTATGTGCTCTGTGCCAACTCTGGATCAGCCCCAAGATGGATGCTGTCCACAGGCCAGGGTGCCCTTTTGTCTTTAGCTGGTCAGTGGTGGCAGTTTTCCTGGATATTATTGCAAATCATATTCATCAATTCTATTCATTGCTTGGACCAAATTGTAGGTAAGGTCTGCACAAATAAAAGCTCCCCACAGAGACCTGCAGCCCACATGCGATTCTGCTGTGCTGCACAGAGAGCTCTTCCACAGTCTCCTCTCAGTCACATTGAGCTCAGGATGCACCTTCCAGGATCTTTGGTCCTTAGACTTTGGACGTAATGTCTGGGTGGGCAGAGGGAGGAAATGCCACACTGATAGGAACATATACTGGATGGAAAAGGAAGAAGGAGGTTAAGAGAATTTGTTGGTTATGCAGAGGGCCAGTATTCAGTTCCCAGCACCCACATGGTGGTTCACATGTCTGTAACTCCAGCTCCAGGAGATCTGAGATCCTCTTCTGGCTTCCATGGGCACTGCATGTGGAGCCATCTCTCTAGTCCCAGGAAAATGTAAATTAGATTGCTATGTTTAAAGAGGATGCACAGAAAAGCTTATTAAAGTCGATTATGATTAATGGAAGGATCCAAAAATACCAGCAGAGAAAAGAAAATCTAAAAAGCAAGAGCATCTTAAAATACTCCAAATAACAAAATATGTGAGGTGATAATGGCTATGAATTTATGACACAAAAGGAAAGGGTGGGCAGCCTTTTAAAATGTAAATGAGGCTCCTGATTCTACTGTGAAGGATACACCTACCTTGATTTTGGACAGGAAGGCTGAGGTGTATAAACTGCCAATCCTTTAAAAAATATTTTATGTTTAATATAGTTCAAAACACTCCCAATGGAGTTAAAATCACAGCATCAGCAAATGATTCAAAGGTTTATTTAGAAAAACAGCCATTTATAGTTTAAGAAAGACTTGAAAGAAAGAAGAAAAAGCAGCCTAGCACTTGGAGATTTAAGGGTATGTTATGAAACTCGACAAAAACAGAGAGTGAGAGATCCATCCAAGATTAGAGATTGGGATTATTGGATCAGAGCATTGCAGAGAGATCAATCATTGATGTGAATGTATTATGTGAAAATTAACTGTCACAACTGAGAATTGATTATCCAATGTGTGGCATTTAGCAATGGGAGAGAAGAAAGATTTTTATGTGCTAATCCCTCACTAGACACCAATATAAATCTCAGAGGGATTAAAGAGCTTCAGAAAGAAAGGGGGGAGAGGGAGCAGAAGGGAACTCAAACAGGACCTTCCCATTCCTGATATCAGGGCAGACAAATTATCATAAGCAAACCTATTGATTAAAAGTAAAGAATTCCAAATAAAACACATGCTCCCCCATCCCCCCAATTCTTAAAAGTAACAGAAGGCCAGAGAAAATAAGGAAGAATTTGAACAACTGGGGAGTCAGGGAAACAGGACGGGAAGCTTTGTCCTGGGAGCATCCAGGGGAATGTGAGCCTTTGTCTTCAGCTCTTGCTCAGTGGAGAACGGAAATCAAAGCACAGGCCTGCAAGGCGGGTGCCCCGTGGCAGGCCGCTCACCATCAGGCTGGGACTCTGAGGTCCACACTCAGGATGAAGATAAAGCCCAAGAAGTCAGTTTGGTTATCCTTCCTGCCAAGGGCAGACAGGAACACCCACCTCCTTGCTGAGCTTAGAGGAAGATAAAATCCTGGCAACTTGTAATTTTTTGTGGATCTGCAACATATTTTTCAAGTAAGTGAACTGTGTAAAACCCTTTACTTTACTTAGTTAACAGAAGCCCTTGGGGGTAGAGATATGGCTCAGCTGTTAAGAGCACTTACTGTTCTTCCAGAGAACCCATGTTGGGCAGCCTCTTTCTGCAGGGGATCCAATGCCCTCTTCTGGTCTCCATGGGCAACTGCACTCATATGGCATATATTCACGTAGGGACACACACACACACACACACACACACACACACACACAAATAAATAAATAAATAAAAATAATTTTTAAAATCTTTAAAAGTGACTCTCACCAGAAAAATTGTTTCTCAGAAGTAGGCATGAGTCCACCTCAGCAGATTTGCTCATCCTAGGCCTATGGGGGTTTCCAAAAACATTTTTCCTAAAGAAAAGGAGCCACTTTCAACAAAACACTTAAAACTGTGCGAGGAAGCAGCAGAAGGAAGCCTGTGGATAGCCTGACATCGGAAATGTCAGGCACAGATGTTTAAAAGCAATTATACTTATTATAGTCAAAGAAATAAAGGCAGGCTTTAGAATTAATAGATAATAGAAGATATTTTACGTGATGTGGTATGTTTGAGAGAGAGCCAAATGGAACATCTTAATTAATCAAATACTGCAAATGAAGTAAAAATTATCAAAAAACAAAAGGAAAAAAACCTTTCACCTCCCCACCCCATGGGAGATTAGACTCCTCTGTAAAGAGTATTAGTGAGCTGAAGGATAAATATGGAAAGAAGTTTCCAGAAGCAAGCTAAAATTGAAGACATGGAAGAGAAATGAAGGGACTTGAATAGGTAGAATAAAATCTAACATATATCTAATGAGAGAGAGAGAAAGAGAGAGAGAGAGAGAGAGAGAGAGAGAGAATGAATATACCAGTAATTGGTAGTCTGAGAACTTTACATAAGTGATGGAATGGAAACACATGTATAGACTCTCAGGGACCCCAATGAGTCACACACACCCCTTATTTCATGTCCTCTATTATTTTTAAGGCCTACCAAGTCTAATTTGTATTCCCCAAATGCTCTTAGCTGAAGGTTCATCCTTAGGTCCCTCTCCTAGAAGCTGTCAGTTGCCAACATTTCCTCAGCTAGGACTGGGGCTTCTTGCCTATTTCCTCATCCATGCTGGGTTTTTGTCTGGCTTGGACTTATATAGGTTTTATGTATGCTGTCACAACCACTGTGGGTTCATCTGTGACCATCCACCCCCTCTTCTGAAATGATTGCTAAGTCTTGGGAGGAGAGGGTGTCACATTTAGGACCAAGAACTATGAAGCCTTTTATTCTCTACACATTGGTCAGTTGTGGGTCTCCCTATTATTTGTCATCTGCTGCAAGAAGCTTTTCTGGTAAGAGTTGAGAGGCACTCTAATCTTTGGGTATAGCAATAAGTCATTAGGCATTGAAATCTGTGGTTAAGATAGTGGTGCTGCAAGGAGAGAGGAAAGATGGACCCCAAGCCCTCACATTCCTATCAGCATCTAGGAGAAGAGCAAGATGCTAAGGGACCTGCACGGAACAGTGCAGTTTGCTGATTAGAGCAAGATGCTGAGGTACAGGCCTGGGACAGTGGACTTTGCAGATTGGAAAGCTTGGTACCTCTGATAAAGGAACATGAACAAGGCACATAGCTCCCAATCTAATCCAGGGAAAATGACATGATTAAAATAGGCATTGGGGTTGGAGAAATGGCTCAGTGGTTAAGAGCATTTACTGCTCTTGCTGAGGGACTCAAGTTTGGTTCCCAGAATCCACAACAAGCAGTTCACTACCACCTGTAATTCCAGCTCTAGGGGATTCAGTGACCTCTCTGGTCTCTGCAGGCACACACACACACACACACACACACACACACACACACACACAGATACCTATAAATTAAAATGAAAGATAAATCTTAAAAAGCATGTATTATTTAGTGATTTAAAATTTTCATTGTAGAGATCTTTGGGGTCTTTGGTTAGGTTTACTCATGGTGTGATAAGAATAAGAGGTAGGAATTGGCTAGGCAGTTAGGGTAAAAAGACTCCAAAAAAAAGGTAGCCAGCTTCTAGGCTAAAAGTCAAAATGTCCTCGGGCCTCTTAGCAACATACTCTGTTCCAAAAGCCAAAAATTTCAAAAACATTTGGAAGCTCTTATCTAATCCCTGAAAGATTTTAGGGTTACCTCTTCAGAGGGGGGAATGTTAGAGTAGAAAAAAGCACCAGAGAGAGAGGGAAAGAAAGACAAAAAGAAAGAGAAAGAAAAAGAAAGAACGAACAAAAAAGCGAAAGAAAGAAAGAAAGAAAGAAAGAAAGAAAGAAAGAAAGAAAGAAAGAAAGAAAGAAAA